GGAGTGTAAGTCCACAACAGGCAAACAATAATAGAAACCTCAACATAAAACAGCTGGAGCTATTTACAAATGAATATGAAATTTTAAAATGAGTGAAGTGTGTGCTGTTCATTTATCATTGAATTTATCATCATCAAGTCACAGACACCTACTATAGAAGAATCCAACAGCACAGTGTATATTTATACCAACAAGAAGTAAAAGTAAAAGCCTTTTATTTTAATACTTACCAAAATAATAATATATTTTAAATTCTGACATAATTTAAGCACCGTTATACTAGTTGGAAATGCTCCCTTTTATAATAGTCAGAAATGTTTCGTTTTATTAGAGTAAACAATGTGTATATTTATAACAGTGTCTCTGACCTTATTATTATTGATTATAGTTTTACAAGCCATTACAGAAAAAATCGCTACAAATATTTTACTGAAACCTGGATGGTAGTGATGAATGCAGTATTGAGTATGCCATAGGGTAGTTCTAAAATTAATTCAAGTGCCTTCGTTTTTTTCCCTTGTAGAATTTCTTCAAGTCCTTCGCTTTCTGCCAATTGGTATTTTACTAATGCACAATAATTGGAAAATAATTTGTGCAATTTGTAGCACAATTAATTTGAAACAGCCACGATGAGGATTCATCATTTCTTGAGTTTGCTGTTGTGCTTTGTATCTATGTGGTTTTTTGCAACTATTTCAGTGAGTTTTCTAACAGTAGATGATTCCATTGTAGAGTTCTCTACTCTTGTGAGTGGCAATTTATTCTATTAATTTTCTTTCTTTGCTGAAATTGTGAGTGCGTATCTTATTATTATTATTCATATTTTTGTTTCACAAGCCTACAGCAAAATCGGTTGGGTATTTTGTACCAAAACCTAGACAGATATACCATATGCAAATGTCCATGACCTATTTAAAAAGTTGATTTATTTTTCGTTGAAAGTTGATTTACTTGGCTATAAATACATAATATATGCATTGTTCTTGTGAGCATCGTCCTTTATACTCGATGCTTGTTAAATGTGTGTTTACACAAAACCATCTGGCTCAGTAAATAATGGTTGGGTGGGAAAAAATCAATGCAGCAGTAAACTGTTGAAAACATATAACAATCATCTGAATGCATATGTACTTATGTAGCTTAAAATTTATTCTCCATAAGTGGACATAAAAAATTTAAGAAACAATAGTTTTTAAAATTGTTACTTTAAAAAGGGAAATAGGGATCATCAAAAAAGTACAGAAATGTTGAATGAAAATGCAAAGATTACATTTCAAGCCTACAACTAGGAACTCTAAAAAAGTAAACAAACAAGGCTTGAAATAGTGTCTACATTATCAAGTCCCTGTTTTGGCTCCACTAAAATTGATAAATACCGTAGACATGAAGTCAAAATAGGGATTTGTAGCTTGAGAAAATAATGTAGACACTATTTCTAGCCTAGTTTGTTTAATATTTTTTATAGGGGGGGTCCACTTTTGGTGGAGGCTGTCCATGACCTGATTCGGGGCAAGATGGAGTCCTTCATGTGGCTTGGGGGATTCAGAGTTGAATTTTCATCATGAATCTGAATATACTGGGGAGAATTTAGACAATCTGTTTCCTGCTCCTTCTTTCACTAGGGCTGCCGAGATCTACTGAGAGCTCATCTGATCAGCCACCTTCTGTCCCATTTCTGCAGTTAGTTACACGAGTATATGAAGTTTTGGGGATTAACTCTGTTGCATTTGAGTCTACCCCTGCCTTGTTGTCAGATAGATCTTGTGGGGATTACTTAGTTCTTCCTCCTTCACCTGATATTGCTGTGCATGCAGAGAAGTTTGCAATGCAATTACGAGAGGATATCACTATGCCTTGCACCCCTCGTTAATCAAAATAACATGCCCTTACTTGTCATCGTCAGGGTGAAGTATAATTGGACACTCAATGGTTGGATCCATTATCACTCTTAACAGATTTCAATTTTTGTAGATTTGTTTGACTCTTACTACTGTATTAAGATACTTCTCTTCCTTTCACCTTTTGTCTGAAGAATATCAGTGCTCTCTTCATCAATTTTACGACGAACTGGGACCCTTACTGGTTACCACTATGGCTTGTTTGTCTTCTTTAGGCCTTGCCTTTGTGTCGTGGTTGGTTTGTTGCTGGGACTTATTGAGTCAAGATGCTTTGTTGGAGGGTATTCGTTTGCCATCCACTGCTCTTCGTGATTTACAGGAGGCACCTTTATTTGGTTGCTGGAGTTCCAAAACTTTAGAAGCCCGATTTGATACGGCACATTTGCAGTTTTCTTTATCATCGTTGGCTGCTCACCTCTCTTCTACTCCAACAGGTAATTCTGGAGGCTCGACCGTTTCCGTCTAACACCTCGTCCTATTGGTTCACAGAATCAATTCCGTCTGTATTTTCGAGGATCTTCACTAGGTTCTGTGGGAGGACAGTTACATCTCTTTCACCACATTTGGCATTCATTCACCATCGATCCTTGGGTTCTCAGAGTGCTGGATTTGAGATTCAGTTTACTTTTCCCTCTCAGTTGTCCTCCAATCCGGTTGTCTTTTTCTCCTCCCTCAGACCTCAAACATGCGGACCTTCGTTCCCGGGCCGTTCAGGAGTTGTTCAATAAATGAGCAATCGAGAAGGTCAATCCCATTCATCCAGGATTCTATTTTCATCTATTTCTGGTGCCCAAGAAAACTGGGGATTGGCATCCTATCATCGATCTGTCTCGTCTCAATCACTTCCTACAGCCTCCTTGTTTCACCATGGAATCTTTTCTTCTACTTCGATGGCACTTCACACCAGGGTTTTGGATGACCAAGTTTGATGTTACAGACACCTACCTTCCCCATAGCAGAGTCTTCTCATCACTTTCTA